ATACAAGAACTCGTGGGCACTCCATGAAACTGCAGAGCGGTCGGGTTAGAACGGATAAAAGGAAGTACTTCTTCACCCAAAGAGTGATTAACACATGGAATTCACTGCCACAGGAAGTGGTGGCAGCTACAAGCATGGACGGCTTCAAAAGGGAATTAGATAAGCATATGGAGCAGAGGTCCATCAGTGGCTATTAGCCACAAGGTATAGCTAGGGGCTCTGGGGCAAGTGATGCTCTGTCTTCTTGGTGCTTGGGGGGGGGGTCAACAGTGGGAGGGCTTCTAATGTCCTGGCCCCACTGCTGGACCTCCTGATGGCACTGGTATTTCTGGCCACTGTGTGACACAGAGTGTTGGACTGGATGGGCCTTTGGCCTGATCCAACATTGGCGTCTCTTATGTTCTTAATGCCTGGATCAGAAAACAAGCCCCAGGATATTTATTTACTTACTTTATTTACACCTTGCCTCTCTCCTCAATGGGCACCCAGAGCAGCTGACACCATTCTCCTCCCCTCCATTTTGTCCTTACAATAACCCTGTGAGGTAGGTTAGGCTGAGAGTGATGGTGACTGGCCTGAGGTCACCCAGTGAGCTTCCATGGCAGGTGTGGGGATTCAGTCCTGGGTCTCTCAGATCCTAGTTCAGCACTCTTAAACACTACACCACACTGGAATACCTTTTTGGGAGGACAAACCGAAATGACACAAAACAAGTGTGCAAGTTTTTGGGACTAGGCTTTAAGAGGACGGATTAAGACATTTGTTCTCTCTGCCCCCACCCACTTTAAACATCCAGCCAAGGTAAAGATTTCTGGAGAACTCAAAAGCTTGCAAACTGCTCTACTGTTGGGGTTGGCCTTAATAACCAGTTCTGTGTTAATGTCTGATACAGCCGATGCAATGCGACCGATTCCAAAATTAGTTGTTGTAGATTTTCCGTGCTGTATGGCCATTGTATGGCTATACAGCCTGGAAAATCTACAACAGCGAATGAATTCCGGCCGTGAAAGCCTTCGACAACAGTTCCAAAATGCCTAAGAATTCTGGGGAGTTTTACAATTAATCAGTCCTTTCTTTGCCCTGAAAGAGCCACGCTCTCTTGAATTTTTTTTAACCATAATATTTTATTAGATTTTAATTCATAACATAACAAATAAATACAGGTTCTCAAACAACATTTTAACAATTTTTCATATATATGTCAGTGTGTATACAGACTTCCAATTTGACTTACTCAAATACTGATAGAAGTTTGCTAGCTTATCAATAACAATGAGTATTGTGCTGCACTAATCGCTTTCCAATCAAAAGACTCAAAGGTTAACTTATCCACAATTGGATACCATTTACCAGTTGGATTCATTAGTTCACATTCACGCTCTCTTGAATGAAGACACAGGAGTCCTGTGGAACCAGTGCTAGCTATAGAAAAGCAGTAGTTTTTTGAAACAAAGCATTAAGTGCCTCTTATTCTGCGGGGGGG